AAACCTTCAGTATGTCAGCCCCTACACCTCAGTGAACAGCTCAGGCGCCAAATACTTTTTGGTTTGGGATAGTTTCTCGTACAATGACATAATGATCACAAAGCGATGTTATCATTTAGTATTAAGTGTACCTATATCCTTATCAAACTCCATGAGACCTACTGAGACTCGACATGAGGGATTGTAAGTGTTCCTCAGCCCTTATTAAAATCTCCAGAGAGGCCAAGAAAAGGGCAACTAAATCACTCAAACCCCCGGATTACTAGGTAGCCCGATAGCATCACAAGGCCTACAAAGACCCGTAACACCCTGAAAAACCCTTCCAACCCTAACCCCTAAAACTTGATCCCGAACCCAACAATCCCTAAACCCCAAGCCTCCAAAACTAAACTGCAAAGCCCAGAACTCCTGTAGAAGCCTTTGAGGTGGTGGTCTTCCTTGCGCGGAACCCCGATGAGCCTCATCCCGAGGCCTCTTTGGGTGCTTCATTTCTGTGGGTGTTTGGAGTTTGGGGTTTAGGATGTTTGGGCTTTAGGGCCTAGGGTTTGTTTTATGTGGAAGTTGGGGGGGGGGCTTAGAGCTAAGCTTCGAGTTTGGGGTTTAGGGTTCAGGGCTTGGGTTTGGAGTTGGTTTTGGGGTTTAGAGCTTGGTTTGGGCTGTCTTGCAAGAGGACTATAAAGGGTGGAGATCAGCATTCAGGGAGGTTTGAGGGTGGCAGTTGAGAGGGCTAGTTACTTTGGTTCAAGGATAAGGTGCGAACATTCGGTATCGAAGGGTTTCGCTAAACAGAATCGGCTTGTGATTCTTTTTGACATACCAGGACTACAGACAATCAGTCTCTAGCAGGTTAAGCTGGTACCGCGTGTGGGACCTGCATCTTTTGTCCAAAACGGTGCCAGAACCCCCAATCCCACATCCTAAACTCTAAACCTTAAATGCCTAAACCCTAAACCTCAAAGCCTTGAAGCCCTACGTCCTACGTAGTCAGAGGGACGTGGTTCGTGTCGGGACCCAGAGGATTTGTGTTCCGGGAAAAACTTGGGCCATTTCCTGGAAAACCTGCCTTTTCTCAGCGATTCAGAAGTTCACTTGCTGACTCTTGAAGCATATTGGCTGTAAACTGAACTTTTCAACTCTTAGGGTTCTTATAAAGTAGTCGATTCTAAAAGTTTCAGCTTTTATTTGCTTGGGTTTTGGGCCAGTGAGGAAGGTTTTTTCCTGGGTTGCCCATTTCGAGATCAACCTCTGGGCTTGAAACCGTATCTCGTGGAGAAGGTGGTAACTTTTGACTTGAAGACTACCTGGGACTTTCTCCTAAATGGGAAGATCCAGGGGATGTGTCTCCACACTGCAAAGCTGGAAGACTCACAAACTCTACATATGTTTGTGAAGAGGGTTTCTGATTCTTCCGTGGTGACAAAGAGATTCGCGTGATGAAGACTCCCGACAGTATGGAAGACACGATCATCGAGTCGGTGCATGGTCATGAAGAGTTACGAGTGGGCATAAATCTAGTCTTTATGGCCACTAGGCAGGTGTTCCAAATATCAAAGGCGAGTTGTGTGAGCTTTCAAGCTAATCCAAATGCCACTAGTAGTCTCACGTGTAGTTCATGTGTTTGTTGGAACCGTTTTATGTCATATCTCATGAGGCAGCTGTAAGTGTGTCTGCAAACAGAGCGCTGCGCAGGGCGTTTTCCAGGGTTTTAGGGTTACCAGATGATGCAGGTTGCACGTTCACACTCCAAGTGCGGCTGCAAGCACCTGTAAGCAGAGCAGTTAACGTCAGTTGACTGAAGCTTGCAACACCAACTCTACTTTATCTCGCAAGCTCTAAACCACCGCCCTGAACTCAAAGCGATTCGGCGCCTTTAACTGCACCCCTTAGCTTGAAAGTGTGCCTCGGTGCTAAGTTATGGACTCTTCTGTGATTGACGGTTTTCTTTGTTACAGGGATTCGGAAAGTCTCGAGGGGTGGAGGGTGGGGGCTTTTTCGGTTTAGGAACAACCCCAAGCCCTAAACCCCTAAGCTGGATGATTTCGCAGAAAGGGTCCACTGCACAAAAAAACCCTAAACCCAATGCCCCAATACCTTAGACCCCTAAACCCGAAACTCTTAGCTTACGGCGAGCATGAGTTGATGTAGGCTCAGGTGGCTCGCACGCAGCCCCTGCCCGAGGATGCAATCGAGCACGTGATTCCAGCGAACAACACATATGGTGCGGGTCTTGCATGGGGGTTGAGGGGTTTAGGGTTTAGGGTTTGGGGTTTGGGTCTTGCATGGGTTATGGAAGCTTCGTCCACTCAAGCAGGTGATGCCTTACAAGCTCTTTCGGTGACTATGTACTCTGGTTCCTGAAACCCCTGAACCCCAAACTCTGTTTCTGAAACCACAAACCCCAAGCCCCAAACCTTGTTCCCGCGCCCCAAGGCCAAAAGCCCCAAGCAGCCAACCCTCCGAACGCTTCCCTAAACCCTAAATTTAATGGGGTTAATAGGGTCTGAACTTCAGGGTTAAACAAGCCCTGAACACACCCTCAACCCAATACCCCTATTCCTTAGGGTTCCTGTTACAACTATACAGTAAGATGCCCCAGCTGGGAAGTCTGTTTACGCTGGGATGCCACCCGCATGGTGTGAATCACTGCATATCTGGCTTTAGCTGGCCTAAACAGTACAGTAACTACGGTACTTGGATATGTTTGTGTGATGCGCGAGCGGCCCCTCCTGACGTGCGGTGCACATGTTCGACTAAAATCGTGGTCCCTCGAAAGTCGGGCAACTGCTGTCAGCTATCTTCCTGGACTAGGGCCGAGGGTTTAGTAGGGTTTAGATATGGACTTGCGGGTCTATGCTGGCTAAGTGGAATGCTGGCATGAGAGGAAAGAATAGCAGATCAGGCTTTTTGTATCCCTGCGGGATTCGTTTGTTCAAGCTTGAAGTGCAAAACATGATTTTCACGTTGGGGCTCTAGGTTCAGTTCGAAATGTGATCGAAGCGTTCAGGCCCCTTTGGGTTTAGGGTTAAATGCGGCATCGCCCTAGCGTCGCGCACGACACGGGTTGATTTCTGACATCCGACATACCGTCAAACTCAAACCCGAAAGCCCTACAATCCCAAGCCCCAGACCCTTCCCAAGCCTCATTTTTGTTAGACCTCCACACCCCGAAACCTCAAACCCCTTTAGCGGAGCAAGAACAACCGTGGCCCCCAATCCTGACCCTCTCTAAGCAAAGAAGGAACGATCCTACAACCCCAAACCTGCTTTAAGAACCGAAACCCTTACATCCAACAACATATCATAAGCAGAGGAGACAGCCCTTGAACCTGAGACAATCCCAGAGAAAACCCGAACTCAAGACCCTGCACCCTGAACAGCAAAAACCTCTCAGAGGAACCCTGATAGGAACCCTTTAGGAACCCCTACAGGGCCCTTTTTGGGTTCCTTATAGGCACCCTCAAAGCAACACATGAAGGAACTCCCAAACAAGAAAGGGACCCCTACTCTAAAGCCCTAAAGTCGCTTCCTGAGGTCTCCCCTCGGGTTGGTTGCGAGAGCCACGGGCAGGGCGACCCAAGGAGCGCGAGCTCTAGCAGTTAGGGTTTTTGTCGGGTGTATTGGTTTAGGGCCCCTTTAAGAGGAACGGGTTCCAGAACGGGTCTAGTCTACGGTAGAAGCCAGAAAGTTGGAGCATCATTGTCCTCGTGACCTTAAGGTATATTATAAGGGATCCTAGCACGAATCCTCCTAAAGCCATGTTCCAACTTTATGGCTTCTGCTATAGGGGTGCAGGTCCAGGGTCTTCGGCTTTCTAGGTGCTTCCACAGCTTTAGGGCTACTTCGGGGTCTAGGATTTTAAGCGGGGTCGATTTCATATTGGGTTCAAACTGCTTCGGGTTTGGCGTTTGTGGTGGATTCTGATCGCGCAGGACATCTTTGATTCGTTTTGATCCAATGGTTTAAGGTAATTGGAGTGTTAGAACCTTCCTTGATCTCCTCAGCTGTGGAATCGGGTGTCCGTGTTGTCGGTTCTGTTTATTCCGGAGGTTCTTCGTTGCCATCCATATAACTAATATTGTTTTCTTGTGATGGTGTCGTGGTCTGTTGAAGCGCACTTTTGCACAAGAGCGGCCAGGCTGAGTGCTGTAAGCCCCTAATCCAACCCCTCGATGTCAAATCAATTCCTTGAGCTCCCCTCAAACCCTCGTGCAGCCCCCAAAATGCTGTCAAACACATTAATAAACCTTTGAATCCTTGAATCTTCGGAAATGCCATTACAAAGCCAAGGCAACCTTGCTGATACGGACAGGCGCTGGGAGCTCAGAACCGACTTGGCCCGACGTCTGAGGACGGCAGAACGACCTGGGTTCAGAAGTTTTGTCGGTTCTACAAGGGGTTGTGTATTATGCGGGCTTTTGCTTGGGGGCTTGGGGATTCGGAACACTGCATGGACCAGTGTCCTATCACGGAGTTCCACAAGCCATGCTTCATTGCGCGTGTGCGACCCATGGACAATTGGTTTCAGGACAGGGTGACCTTGCTACATCTTTCAAGCATGTGCATGTGCAAGATTTAGTGGAAGTTGGTCATTGCAGCTTCTGAACGTTTCGTCTTGCAGTTTGCCACGATTGCTGGAGATGCTTTGCCAGATCGTGCAGGACCACGAAACGACAAGCGTCCTAAGCTCTGTAACCCTTTACCCAAAACCTGGCAGCCCGGTCGCCAGCCTGAACCTTTGGACCTCAGCATTTCCAGCTCCAGCCCGTTTGTGTCGCCAGCTGTGCGGCATACCTGTCATGCACATGTTGCACTTTTTGTCGAAGCAGTGCCATCATGTACCATGTTGACATGCAGTACATATTTCATAGTTCTGCGTAGTATACCACAGCATACTGAAACACTGTAGGTAGGATGGAGGCTAAAGGGCAGTGGCAGAAGGTCAGGAGGTCAGCGAGTTGCCGAGGTTGGAGCAGTTTTTAATCAGCGTTTTCAATCAAGCCATGGCTGGACATGGACTTCGCAGCGTGCGGCCTCCGTGCAGTTCTGTGCTGCTTTTCTCGTTGAGCTTTGCCAGGGTCGCCAGTGTGGAGTTTGCACTGGGAGCTCTCGCCCACCTTCCACAACGACACGCAACAGCAGCTGCAGCCTTTATCGACTACCAGAAGAATTTCAATGCTTCCTTGGCCGCCCGGTTAGGCCCTCCAATCATCGAGATCCCCGGTGGAGTGCATCCAAATGCAAGCATGGGAGCCATCAGTTTGAGCATGAAGGACGATGGTGATTCCGACAAGACGGGCATCTAGGTTGCACTTTGGTTCCTATAAAGCTCTTAACGGCCCCAAAACGACAACCAAGGCATGTCCGAAGCCTTGAACTTGCTTCTTGGCCTTGAAGGCAATGTGCCTGTGGTCGGATTAGTCGGTCCAGGGAAATCGAAGACCGCCACGCCGGTTGCTACACTGGCAGGTGTGCGGCAGATACCCCAAATATCTTGCTGTGCCAAAAGCCCCAAGTTGTCTAACAAGAAGGAATACCCCTTCTTTATTCGGACCATGCCACCGGACAGCTTCCTCGCTACTGCCATTTGGCATTGGGTTGTACACTTCAATGTCGCAACAGCAGCTTGTGTTTATTCCGACGAGGGCTACGGCCAAAGTCTCTTCGGATCTCTGAATGATCTTGCTCGTGCCAACGGTCAGCAAGACCGAATTCAGGGACAGGGCTTGGGACGAATGTCATTTTCAAACTTCAATTCAGAGCAAGCTCGCAAAGTAGCACAGCTTGTGAAACGGATTGGATCCCATTTTGTCATTCTTCTCATGCATGACGCCTTCGCTGGCGGTTTCTTCAACGTCCTTGAGCAGGAGGGCATGCTGACGTCAGCATGGCAAATACTATCTACGGATACGTTCGAAGCAGATGCAGGCAGGAAAGTGGGTTACATGTACCTGAGACCCTCTGGTGAAGGCGCCAAGGCTCCGGAGCTACAGCAGTTATGGTCCCGGCTTTCTCCACTTGACATGCAAGCCACGAATCAGATGCAACTACCTGTTGGCCTGGTCGGGGATGAGATGTTCGATGAAGGCGACACGGCGCGAATTCGTGGCAGTCTTTCGTTTGTTCTCATAAACTCCTGGCTCAATCTCTACTTATCTGTCTGTGTGGCTTTGTTTATTCATGGTTCCATCCCCCAAAAAACGCAGTGTCAGTCAGTCAGTCGGTCAGTCAGTCAGTCAGTCAGTCAGTCAGTCAGTCAGTGTGTGTGTGTATGTCTTCTTTGCCTGGACTTGCAAGGTCTGGTGTTTGACCCAAGCGCGCTCTATAACTTTGACTCGGTGTACGCATACTTCATTGCCATTAACAACCTACTTCATTCGGGCATGGATGCAAGTGAAGTCCGTGGCCGCGCGCTCTTAGATGAGATGAGCAGGCTACGATTCAACGGCGTGTCTAGGTCGCCCAGTAATTAGTATTTTAATAGCTCCAAAACCGAAGTACCTTGATTTTTTTGGAGGGTTGCTGGGCAGCCTAGGTGTCAGGTGATATGAGCTTCGATAGGAACGGTGACCGGCTGGGGGCTTTTGAGTTCCTGAACGTGCAGTCCGATGGCAACGTCGCTTCTGTTGCGTCCTTCAGTGCTAAGACATTGAATTTCACAGTTACGGCACCTTTGACATGGATGGATGGGTCAGTGGGGTACTTCCCGCCGCCAGACATGTATTCTTGTGATCCCGGCTTCTACCAGGAGGAGCAAACAAGGCAGTGCAAGAGATGTCCACAGGGGAACTTCTGTGAAGGAGGGCTGACGGCTCCTCTGATGCCCTGTCCCCGAGGTCGGGTTCGCTTTGGTCAAGGGGCCTAAATACGTCGAACGGGGCCATGGGGGGAACATCAGAATTGCTCTTCGTTAAGTGATTTCAAATGAAAAGCCAACCATGAGACCGTCAGATAGATCATGGGGGCACCCTCGTGTTGTACCCCGAAAAGAGAGCAACAAGAGAGAGAGGCACTTTTGCCCCCGACGTGGGCATGACCAATTGCACCGCTTGCCCGAACGGCAGTTTCGCCCTGGATGCGGGCTCGGCGGCATGCGTTGCATGTCAGCCTGGCACAGAGGGGCCTTTCGAAGGAATGGAGCTATGCAGGATCGCTGGTTCAGGGTTTGGAGTTTAGGGTTTAGGGTTCAGGGTTTAGGATCGCCTGCCCACCAAAGCAATCCTAGGCACTGGGTCCTAAACCTTGTTCGGCCCTGATATATAGGGCTGGAACAATTTTGCTAGCAGGGTCTTGTTTATCCATATCATGGAGCCAAAGGAATAGTGTTTTTGGTTTACAAACCGCTGCAAGACACCAGAAAAGCATTAAACAACCACTATAAAGCCGTTGGATCCCTTTTGCAACCCTTATAAAACCTCTGGCAGGAGCTGTGAGGTGGGCTTCTACATGCCATCGTCGGGAAGCAGTCAATGCCTGCCTTGCGGGCAGAATCAGATCACCCGAGGGCTACTCGGATCCAGGGTCTTAGGGTTCAGGTTAAGGTTTAGGGTTGTGGTTTTCAGGGTCAGGGGTTTCGGGTTTAGCGTCGTTTCATAGAGACCCATGAACTATCTCTTTCTTGTTATCAACCGCATCGCACAGAGTGCGAAGAAATGCGGGAGGCTAGAAGGTCAAGAGGTCATCTCGGAGCCTGGGGCCGGGGCACAGCCAGATCTAGTCCCATCCCAAGCTTCTTTTAAAGGTGGTAACCCTTAAAACCCTTAAAAGGGCTACTATAACCCTTATAGCAACGCTTTCAAGGGCTCCTCGAAGGAACACCCTAAGCCCTCATCTCACAACTCCCAGGCTCGGCTCCACCAGCGAGTCTGATTGCGTTTGTGCGGAGGGGTCCTTCATGTGTCCATCTCAAGGTTGCCCCTGGGCCTTTATTCAAGGGCTTGTTTTTAAGGCTGAGGGTTTGGGGTTTGGGCTTAGGGTTTAGGGTTGAGGCCCCTGGGCCGTTCTTGAAGGCTTTGGGGCGTTCTCATTTTCCTTCAAGGGTTCTTTTAAAGGCTTCCCTTTTCAGGGGTACCATACAGATTTACGGCTGAGGGTTTCAGCACGGTCGAGTGGTGAAAGGGGGGTTAAGGTTTAGCTTCTTTTGGTGATTTTTGATCGATTTGATGAGAGAGTTTGAGGATAGCACCGTCGTAGAGAAGAAACAACAGGCTACCTTTTTCAAGGCTTGCTAAACCCTGAACCCTAAGCCTTGAACCCTAAATCGTAGAACCTAAACTAGACCTTATACCCTAAAGTCCTGAACCCTAAACCCTAAACCTTAAACCCTAAACTCCTAAACCCTGAACTTTTAAATCCAAACCCTCGACTCCTAAACGCTAAGCCTTCAAGCGCCGCCCAGGCATCCCATGCCCCGCGGGGCTCTACTGTCCGGAGGGCTTAGGGCCCCCGGAGCAGGCTGCCGGCTTTTGGACCCTGGGCTCTTGTTAAGGAACTCAGAGTTTAGGGTTTAGGGGCTTGTAGGTTTAGGGTTTAGAGGTTTAGGGGTTTAGTGGTTTATCTATGGTACATAATAGCGGTTTCCGTGTTATGGGAACTTAATCTAAATTCCCTAGATGCTAAACCCCAAACACTCCTCACCTGAGCCCAGGACCGACCCGAACGCTTCCCAATGCGACTTCTCCGTCTTGCGCTGTGGGGGCCTCACCGCTTAGAAGGAGATGCAACCCTGAACCCTGAACCAAAATGTCGCGGCCTCAATACTTTGATTAGGGTTTTGGGGCCATTACACTATAATTATGCGGCCCCTGTAGTAAGACTTGAATAATCTTGAATATAGGGTATAGCCTAAACCCTAAACCCGAAGCCCTGGGAATCGAGCACAGACGGCGTGGCTGCTAAGGCAGAGACCGGGCCGAGTGCCCTCAGGGACCTTTGGGGCGCTGCTCCGAAGGGAGAGACGAGGTGGCACTTTCGGGCACTTTTTTAGGGTTTGGGGGTTTAGGGTTTAGGGTCCAGGGTGTAGAGTATAGGTGTTTAAGGTTTAGAGTGAGGGTTTAGGGCCTAGAGTTTAGGGTTTCCTTTCATGGTTCCTCTAGAGGTGTACTTCCCTGTATGGTTCCTATAAAGGTACCTCTTCATGACTAGCTTTTAGGTGCCCACAACTACAACCCAGGAGAGGGGCAGGCGTGTAACAACTGCGAGCCGGGCTACTACTCCCGAGGCCCGAGGGTTACTATGCCGTATATTATAAGGGTTACTGTACACTGTAAGGGCTACTATAAGGTTATTACAAGGGTTGCTGTCACTATACGGATTGCGATAACGCTTACGATAAGGGCATTACAAGGGCTATTATAGAGGTTGCTAGAATGGCCGCTATACGGCTATAAGGGTTGTGGCGGGTTCTGGCTGCCCCCCAGGCTCAACGTGTGAACGTTGTCGTGAAGGGGATGCTCTTCCGGTCATCTTGCTCTTGATTGTGCTGCTTGCCCTCCTCGCCTTCGTGAGTAATTCAAATCGGGATCCAAGTCAAGTGAGTGCCTTGCTTGCATCAAAGGCTAGGTTTTGTATAGGGTTCAGGGTTTAGGGGCCTGCATCAAAGACAATTCCGCCAGAGCATCAAAGGCTAGGTTTTTGTATAGCGTTCAGGGTTTAGGGGCTTGCATCAAAGACAACCCCGCCGAAACATAGGTTTCGGTGTTGGGGGCTCCGGGCTGCTTTTCTTGCGGCTTGAGCATACGATGAAACCCAAATCATTGAAACCTCTGATATGCACGTGACATGACTGCGAAATGACGTTGTCTCGCAAAGTTGTGTCGAACTGGTTTCGCAGATTTATTGCAATGTTGTTCTGCAGCATATCTCAATTCGAAAGTGGCAATAGTTTTTGGGGTGGTCTTCTGCGCAGGCCGGGATCATCTAATTACGTAGTTCCTCGAGTAGGGTCACGTGACGAAGACTATCGTGAATATATAGCCATCTGGTGGTCTTGGGATAGGGGTTGCAGCGTCATTATCGTGATGTTGGTTTGGAGTTCGGCTTGGAGCTCGTGCTTTACAAAGCCTGCCGATGTTGCGGTATAGTATGTGGCTCCCCTCAGTGATGGCTCCAACAACTGTAAACCCGAAAAAATCTAAACCCTAAACTCTCAACCAGAAACCCTACAAATCGGAAATTCATATGTAAAGAGTTAAGAACTCTCGCAAAAGCTCTCTAATCCAGCAAGACCTTTTTGAATGAGAGAATGCTTCTACAGCTCGACAGTTCCAAACCCTACCAAAACCCTAAACCATTAAACCCGAGAACCCTGCACTCCACCCTTAACCCCTTAAGCCCCACACCCGAAACCCCTACACCCGACCCTTCGAGCCGCTACACCCCAAACTTAGCCCCTTGACCCCTCAAGCCCTGAACCCCTTAAGCCCCAAATGTTCAAATGTTCACCCTGAACTCAAGGTCTGAATACCGTCACGGCGGCCTCACTGACCAGCCAGCTGCTCATGGCCATCCAATCCCTGGGTTCGATCCGAGACTAGGTACCGATTTTAGGGTTTAGGGCTTAGGGCTACTAGGGTTCAGTGTTTAGGGCTTTTAGAGTGACTAGTACCGATTTTAATTCCCTGAGAGCAATTGCTTTAAGTAACTTCGGTACCGAATTTTTACGGTATAGGGTTTTGAGTTCAGTTTAGAATGCCTTACTTTTCAAAAGGGTTTAGGGTTTAGGGTCTCGTTTTCAGTTTCCTTACTGTTTAATGGAGAACCACAAGCCTTAGGCCCTATACCCTAAACCGGGGGGCTGTTGATATCGACGCCCAGGCGAGCTGTCCATCAACTGGCAGGAGCCGGTGATGAAACAAGCAGCTCAAGGGCCCATCAGGGCTCGAAGTAGATGATATGCTTGCTGATCATGGTTTGTGGTTCAGGCTTAAGTGGGTGTTTCGAAGTGTCTATGGCTTGGAGTTTGGAGATAAGTGGATTTGTCGAAGTTGGTTCAATGTGAGGTTTATGGTTAAGCGGAATTCAGATTTCTCTGAGGTTATATAGGGGGTTTGAAGGGTGTTGGCGAATGATAGGGATGCATGGGACATAATGTCCTCTGCTTCAGGGTAAACCTGTTGTAAGGCATCACGGGGCAGGAGCCAGTGGCGACTCTTATCAACCTCACGAAGCTGGTGATGTTCGACTTCCATTTCATACGCACTTCTTGCTTCTTCGGCACCGACAATCCCGTACTCTATTTTGTCGGCCGATTGCTTACATGCCCGGTTGCTTGTGCTCTGCTACTGTGCGCTTGGGTCCTGCAGAAGATGCTCGGACGTCACAAGCCATTCAACACGGTGTTCAATCAGTGTGGAGTGATGATCTTTGCCTTCTTCCTGTCCATCACCCGCGCGACCCTGATTCCATTTCAGTGTGTCGAGAACCCAAATGGAACTAGCTCAATGATGCTGCACCCGGGCATCATTTGCTGCTGGGTTCTTGTTAAGGCAATTTGTTTAAGCCACCATAACCAGACCAGCATGTATTGTGTATATACACATGTATATGTATGCATCATATATCATCCTTGCATACATAAACATATAAAGATGAATGTGTGTCTCTAGTATGGCAAGTCAAACTACGTTGCCTCCAAAAATCTAGGTTTTGATGTTACAGAGTCATCATGAGACCTTTAGGCTATGCCCTAAATGCACCTAAACCTTGAACAACAGCCCAGGCTACCAATCGGAGGAGCATGCCGTCTTTGCTGCACTTTCTGTGGTAGGAGCCCTGCCTGCAAGACAACATCCGAAATCCAAACGAACCAAAACCCTAAACTCCTAAACCCTAAAACTGAGTACACTTCTCGATTTGTGAGGGTTTAGGTTTCGGTTTGGCGTTTAGGGGTTTCGAGTCCGAGTTTCCGGTTTAAGCTTGGAGTGGAGGGAGTGTGCGGGTTTCGGGTTCGGTTTTGGGTTGACAGTTCGACCCTAAGCCCTAAACCCTAATCGGTCTGATATAGGGGCCTAAATAATTACCAATTTTGAGGGTTGCCGATTGTAATCATAGTAAAATGGGCCCCAAAACCTTATTCTAATAGTAAGGCCCCAATATTGGGGTCTTGGGTTTCCGGTCAACTTGAGGTTTAGGATAAAGGTTTGAAAATGTAGGATGGGGTTAGGGGTTTAGGATTTGGTTTTCCGGTTCAAGGTTTGAGGCTTAGGGTGCAATCCCGATTTTTTCCACATTGTTGTGACGGTTGATGATATAAATCCTGCATGACCCATAATAAGGAATATACCATAATTCGCATAGTTTGGGGTCATGAAGGTACTGCAGGATTTCTATCATCAACCGGAGGAGTTGTGACTCAGCCCTTGGCCATCCTGGTGTTGGCCACCTACGTCATCTTCACGTATCCATCGCGTGTAGCCGGTGGCAAGGGGCTTCGCTTCTCCACGCGATACCGTTTCCTTCTTCACAGGTTCAAGCCTTCGCCCCTTTGTCATAGTTGGGTAGCACTTTTATGCGTACTTAAACCCAATAAGGAATGCAAGTTTAGATTTTAAATACTATGCCAACCATGAGCTAGGTCCTACTACTACGGTTTGGTCCTCCTGTACCGCAATGCTATCGTCGCTCTTTTGCCTACGGTTCTGGTCGGCGTGCCGGAAGTTCAAGTACCGTTAATGGGCATCATGTTGCTTGCTGTCCAGAACCTGTCCTTGCAACTGGCGCCGGAGTACGGTTGATGATATATATATATATATATGTATATATCCTGCATTACCTTGATGACGCTAGACCATGGGAATTATGGTTTATTCCTTTGATGGGTAATGCAGGATTTGTATCATCAACCGTAGTACCCTTTTGCTCTTGTTCAAGGGGTTCATCTTGTCGAAACTGTGCAGCCCTTACCATGAAGGGGATATGGGGGAACCTAGGCAAACTGCGCCATGGCGAACACAAATGGCCAATCGCGTCGACATGCTGTTGACGGACCTTCTTCTCGTTGCTTGGCTGGTCTTGAGGCTGCTTCCGTTTTAGTATTAAGCCAGCGTTGTTCTTGCAGTTGCCCCAAATCCCTGTTATTAAGCAACGTAGACCTTCAACAATACAGAGATCTTTTACATGGGGGTTTTGGGAGCCCCCGAGTTATAACAGTCTTTTATCCCCAAGCTTAAACGCCTTACACCCTGCAAGGCCCTACAAAACCCTAAACCCTATTCCGAAACCTACACCCTAAGCCTCAGGTCACTCTGCTCAGTGCCGGTCCTCTGCTGCTACTGGACGAGGCTTCGTCCACGGCCGTGCTCGGTTGGCTTCTTTGTGCAGCTTTGTCCCACCGCAGTACCCTTTTACCACTCCTTTTTTGGGCTTCTTTATTCACAGGGACAACCCGCACAAAAATGGGTGAAACCGTAAACTTATCACACCAGGGAAACCCCAGGTGCCCATCCTGTCGATCTTGCTTGTGGTTCTTCTTGGCTTCCTGAGAGTCGCGGTGAAGGCTCCACGGTTGCCGTTGAATCGCTGCCTAAGCCCCATAAACCCGATCCGCAAAGTATAAATGTCGGGGCGGGTGCGGGGGCAGTGGGATAGTAGTGTTGACCGTGTTGTTTAACATTTCGGCAACATCCAAGGCCATCAGGCAGAAGAGGGAGAAGCTCTACGACATCTTCCTATGTCAGCATCTTAATTGCTCCGTTCTTGAGGTCGGACACAGGGAAAACACAAAGGTAATCGTAAGACCTCAACATAGATTCATGGCGGCTCCTTTCTTACGTCTTTTCAAATATATTATATATAAACTTACAGGAAACCCTTCAAAAACCAGATAAATCACTGCTAACATCCAGAAAGAGCACTACTTAAAGGCTCATGTGACTTAGTAAGTAGGTTATCATTGGGGTTATAAGTCCCCTAAGTGGGGTTATCCTACTTATAACCTACTTATATCCTTACTAAAGCCCATGAGCCTTTCAGTGAGGTCACCACAAGGCAGGGGGTGGGAGCTTGAGCCGCTTGATGAAGCTCGTGATTCTGCAGCACTCTTCCGCCCGGGTGGCTTCACTTTTCAGTCGTACCCCCTTTTTTTTTATCTGAGGTTTAGGGGACGTGGTTTGGGTTTTAGGGTTTAGGGTTTGGAGTTGAAGGTTCTCCCTTCTAAAGCTGATGAATGGGACAACTTTGTCCTTGTTGTGACGGCGCTGCTGTATGGCCTAGGTGTTCTTGGATAGCGACCAGCTTCAGAACCTCGACTTGTTGTTTGACATCATCCGGACATCGACAAAGAACGTGGTCGTGGTGCTTACCGGAGAGCTGCTGTCTAGAAGTTGCTGGGCCGTTTGATCTTCAAGTCTAGTATAGTCTCTCCTTAAGAACAGTTCAAGAAGGAACAAAAAGCGCGGAACCAGCCCCCAGCACAGGTTGGTGTGCGGGAGAGATCGTAACCGCCTGGAAGAATGACATTCACACGGTGCCATTGCTCTGCGAAGGTTTCGAAAGGCTGTCTGACGAGGCATACGGGTACCCTAAACTGGCCCTAAACCCTAAACCCATAGTTGTGGTCATGTAAGGGAATCCCAATCCCAACTACTTAACGCTCTCAACATACTCTAAGAGTTATTCCTCTATGCGGCCCGCCTGGAGGGATCCTACGCCTCAAACCCTGAAGCCGAAAGCCGAACAAATCTCAAACCCACGCACCTCTTTCTTGAAAGCACCTGTTACTGGTTTTGCTTGGTTGCGAGGCACAGAAGCAGATCCCTTCGCTTTGGACGCCTCACCAAGTTGTACCCAGGCGCTTATTAAGGAGTCTTGTTCAAGTCACGAAAAGAAGGAACAGGGTGTAGGGTTTGGGTTTAAGGGGAACATGGTACAGGTTTAGGGGTTAGTCAGTTTATTTGCCTTCTTTTATCGCCTATAGGAGCCCCATAGCACCCACAGAAAAGCCCATATGTATGCCTACATTGTTAGCGCAATCGAGGTTCCTTAACAAGAGCCCAGGCACAACTGGCAAGCTACGGGATCCAGCTTGATGATGTGAACTTGGCAGCCTCGGTGGCATAGTGGGAGATTTGTTGATGCAAATTGGGTCATAGTCTTTTGAAGAGGTGTCTCTGCACAGAAATTACAGTAGACGCTAAAGCCCTGAAACCTCAAAATCAAGAATAGGCCTAGAATCGAGGCTTCTGCACCCTGGAGCCCTAAAGACTTAAATCCCAAACCTACCTCTAGGATCCTTTAGGAACCCTTGAAAGAAACCTCATTTTATGCTCATAGAATCCTACAAAGCACTCTTTAGAGAGCTCTAAACCCTGAACCCTACAACCGAGGCTTATGCATGGCTGCAGCATGAGCTAACTCCCCTCCAAATGGCACGCTTTGGTCCAGCGCGGATCTCAGAAGTGTTTGAAGGCTAGGGTTTAGGGCTTAGGCTTTTTTGGGGCTCTTTCAGAGTTTGATAGACATTTATAGGGTTTTGTGATATTTCTAGTTTTCCTGTGAAGGGGCTTATAAAAGTGCTTTATATGGTTTCAGTGGATTCGAAAACTAGGGGTCGTTGCAATCAAGATCCTACTATGTAGGGTTCCATGTTGGGGTCGCGTATTTTCCAAAATGACGAATGTGTTTATGATGTGTCTTCGTCATAACATCACTGCTGTCGTACTTGTGACATCTATTTTGCTGCATGGCAGACTTCTGAAAGGCTCATGGCACCGACAACCTAAGCTGTCGCCCTAAACGCCGAGCACCCGTTCGTAGCTGAATTGGATCATGTCCGGTGCCAGTCGCTATGCTCACAGCTAGAACTTCCCAGGTTTATGGCAGGGAAAAGGTGGTCGTGGAGCTTATGAACTTCTGTGGATTGTCGTCTCGTCGAACGACGAGCAAGACGGCCGGACATGTCTCACGACCCCGGATTCTCATTTTGAGCTCCTATATGGAGGCAGAGTATTTGTCCGCTTGCGAGGTCTTTCAAATTCTTCTACAAGCACACCTCCATGTCGAGTGCGAGGTTGTGCACGATTTTCAGCAGATCGCCACACGCAAGCCTTTTGCCTACTACCTCATTGCCTTGCTTTTCCGTGGCATCCTCCGGGACGAAGATTTCATCAAGCTTCTCCTGCATCTGGGCAGCTGCTAAGAAACTGGTCGACGTATCGTAATATGATACGATCGTAAAACGCGGGTTTCTTATACTGATTTCGTAGTTGAAGGTTCTGAGACCACTGACGAACCCTTCTAGAACATCAGCTCTTATGGAAGCCTCGGGTTTTGCCGGCTGCATTGAAGAGCAGCAGCCCTAAACCCCATGCGCCCACCTCTTAACCCGAAACCCAAGCCCTAGTCAAGTCGCTCAACCCTTAGACCTGAACCCTACGTGCTGAACCCTAAACCCTAACCAGCAACGCTACACAGAGCACTGGCAGAAGCGGAAAGCGTTCTATACAGTTGTAAACGAATCCGATCAGAATCCACAACAACCAACTAATGCGAATCGCTAACCCTGGTGAAACCAACCCAGGTATGCCACTCAGACTTGTACCTCGTCAAAACGGGCCTTGGAATTGGTGCCAGTGGCTACCCGGATCTCCGCAGGAAGTATTTTCTCGTATCTTAAGGAGCCTTTTTGTGCAAATCTTAAATTAAATTTTAAGTTGAGTTGTGGAAGGGTTTCATAAGGATCGTCAGAGACCACGATTTCTGCCTCCTTTGCCGCGGGCTAAACCCTAACCCTGAACCTCTAACCTAGGCCCTAAACCCTTACCTAGATTTAAAACCATTAACCTAAACCCCAGACCCGCAGATTCCTAAAGCCCACAGGAAAGCAATGCACCCTAAATGACAGAGAGCTGGTGTGGTTTGGGGTTTCGGGTTATACTTAAAGTCTCGTCCTTAGTGAAGCGGTTGTGGAGTCTCGAAACTCTGGCTTAAACTTAGGGCCCTCAACCTAAACCCTCAACCCAAAACCTGTGCAACAAAGAAACCTAAACCCTATGACTGCCAACAGGTTGCCGACTCCAACTTCGAAGTTCCAAACGTCGACGCGAGGTGGCACACTGGGAGCCCGCTTGGGCTTTTCGGTTAGGGTTTTAGGGTTTTCGGGCCTAGTTTTCTGGGGTTCAGAGGTCTGGAGTTTAGGATTTCATGGTTTGGGGCTTTAGGTCGAAGGTGGTCTTTCTTTTAGGTGGCTCCTGAGATCCTGGGAGATTTGAACTCACGTATGGTCACATCTTGAAGGCAGTGTAACCCTTAACAAACCTATCGCATTGCAACCCTTCTAACTAACACCGTATCAGCCGCTCACAAAAATTTTAAAGCCCCATATACAACTTTCAACAATTTTGTTAAAACTCACGTGCCAGGGTGTAACATCCTATAAGACCCAAAACCCTAAACTCAGGATAGTATGAAGAAGAAGTTCGGCTGCCGTGCTCCTCCTGGCGGGCCGGCACACCAGGATCAGGCTCCTGCTTGCGAATGAAGCATATTTTGTTTGGGAATCTACGGTTTAGGGTGGAGGGTTTAGGGTTTGGAGTTTAGGGTTCAGCGTTTTTGGTTTAGGGTTTAGGGTTAGGATTCAGGGTTCAGGGTTAAGGTTTAGTTTCGGTACCAAAGTTCATACTCTACTATACACCAGAACAAAACGTTAGAGAGCTTTCCAAAGCCCTGTACTCGAGGGGTTTTCTCCTTTGCCGCAAAGCAGTCCTGTTGAGGTCATTTAGGTTTTGAGGGCTTGGAACTAGGGAGTCGGGATATAGAGCTTGATGGTCTTGGTGTCCAGGGCTTAAAGCTTTTACGGGTTTGGGAGGGTGTTGACAAGCTGTCGAAAGCAGGAGGGTTTTCTTCATAAGACAACCTCGTCAAAAGGAGAGCTTATCCGATTGTCATTTTGGGGATAGGAATGGTAGCAATGAGTGGACTGGAAGCCATAGGCATAACAACTTTTCAAGATCTGTAAGCTTGGTGGTCGGGCACGCTCGCACCAGAGACAGCAAATATGAATATCTAGAACACGACCAACCAAAAGAGCAAAAACGATACTTTCATGATCGTATGAGCTGAAAACTGCAGTAAAGTAGCGATGATAGTCTTCGAAATCGTTGATCGTCGTAGCATCACTGTAAACCTGAATAGAGCTCCTTGCAGAACCCTTGTCAGACCCTCCTAATGCTCAACGCTTTGCGACGGACAGTTGCGACCATGTTGTAGAGCGCACAGGATCCTTGTTGGGGGCGTCTGAGGGTTAGATATGGGCTCCTTTATCTAGACCAGAAAAAGAAAAGCAAGTCCTCTATGTGGCGCATTCCTTAATTATGTGTGTTGGGCTTGTTGGGCAAGCTCAGCGCCCAACTGCGCAAGCAGGCTTCTGGAGTTGATCAAGGTGGCTTAGAGTTTAGGAGCCCTCAACCCTAAACCCCTATATAAACCCTAAGCCCTAAACCCTAAACCCTAAACCCTAAGCCCTAAACCCTAAGCCCTAAACCCTAAGCCCTAAACCCTAAGCCCTAAACCCTAAGCCCTAAACCCTAAGCCCTGAACCCTAAACCCTAAACCCTAAACCCTAAGCCCTAAGCCCTAAGCCCTAAGCGCCTGAACCCGTTAGGGCCCGGCATGGTGACCTGAGGATCCTCAGCCCTAAAACCCTAAGCCCCCTCGCAAAACCGCAAGGTTCAGTTTCAATTGCTTTTTCTCTAAGACTCCAATATGCCTTAAGGAATAGACCTTAAATTATCGTAGGATCCCTAATATAGTTTAAGGAATATTCCTGAATTGAGGAGTATTGGGCTCTCTAGGTTCTTGCTCACTGCCAGCCCAGGTTTTTCGAAACTTGTGCACAGTGCTGGCCTTGCCATTCACACCTCTAGCATCAGAAGGTTTGCAAGAAAGGCAGGTGGCGGAGATCGCATCTCGAATCCACCGGTATCAGGACGCTTGGCATGATATAGTGCACTATAATACAGTGTCATATACTACAATATACTACGTTATATCGTAAGATAGTATAGCATTCTAGACTTCCGGTTGCAAGATTCAGAGTAAGTTGGGTGTTCGCTGGGGAGGGGTTCTGTCATCGAATCTGTAGCCCCATCTCCTGATATCTCAGCCATAAACCCTATAAAGCCTCAACCCAAACTCCAGAACCCCAAACCCACAAAACCTCAACCTTAAACCCTCGAAAAGGGATCCTCTCTGAGGGCTCGAGGTAAGTGGGAACTTCCGAAACCTCCCAGATCCCAGTAGGGGTTCAAGAGTAGAGACCCTATACTAATAATACTACTACTACTACTACTACTACTACTACTACTACTACTACTACTACTACTACTACTACTAAATTGAACGCTGTGCGAGCGGGCTCAGCACATAGCGGGCGATTGCCGCGGTGCACTCACATGGTGTGAAACTGACTCAGACCCTATAGCGGAACAGCCCAGGTCAAAGACCTTTGGGTGTTGGCGGCCTACAGGCTTCCAGCTAACTGGCAGTGGTCAGCCGAAGCAAGTTTGTAGGCTGCCAGGCATCAAGCTTCAGATTGTTGTGTGTACCTGAACGAGGATAGTGATTGTGCAGCACTAGTAGCAGAGGCACAGTACTGCGACTGGCAGAAGGCTAGGCATGTTTTTCACTGACAGCGGCGGCAATCAGCAGAAAGGCCGTCAGTCCGTTCCGGAAGAAACGAAGTAGAAATGCAGGCAAAGCCTCCGCATTGCACTGCATAGGTTGCCATTGGCACCGGTGATCAAAGTTGGGGCTCACTGGTGCCAGGAGCGGCTGCCACTGGCCCCCGAGTCCGAGCCACGATTCCACCACCCTCCTCGGGTCCAGGCATCGCCGTCCCTGTAGCGCTTGTCTGTGTGAGACTGTGTCTCTTCACCAGAGCGCTTGTCACGCTGTTCACGCTGCTCACGCAGCTCGCGCTGACGATGCCATTGGTAGGTGGCCGTGTCGCCCTTGTTGTGTTCGATACGGAGCTTGCGGACAACTTGACCATCCCGAGGCTGGTAGAAGATGGCGCGATTTTGGCCACCACTCTTCCTGGAGGACTGTTCATAGATGCATTTGAAGGTGGAGGCCACGATCTCGAAGTTGTCATCCGTTTCGAGCAGTGCGCTCATGTCCGGATGATCCCACATCTTCTGAAAGAGGGCGTGCACTATGCCATAGTATGTCGTTGTAGATTTGAGTTCCGTGTAGCGATCATCTTGGCCAATCGATAGTGTGAATAGGCCATTGGCCCCGACCATGAGCCGCGCCTGTGTGATGTCAAGCCATTTGGCATCTTTATCGGTGGCGACCTTCTTGATCGGGGCGAAGATCCATGGCACCTTGCCCAGTGCCCGAAACCGATTGGTCCAGAGGTAGACCTGCTCGGAGGCCGTGAGGCCACCCACTATGCCTGCTCCTTCATAATGGAAATGGTCGCGAAGGCATGAACCCACTCCAGCATCTGGTCAGACTGGCAGATGTGGATAATCTGATCTCGCTTTGGCAGTTGATTTGCCTCTTGCTCTGGAGAGGGGTTGACACTGTACTCCACCAGCTTGGTCGTAGTGACCGGTCCCTGGTATTTGACCTCCGCACGCGTAGAGGGGGCATCCACAGGGGAGGATGATGTAGTGTCAGCCGGGCCTGGGGTCTGCGGGACGGTCTCCTCGATAAAAGAAAGGCGGCGAGCTGTAGTCGGTTGCGCTGGAGTGGAGGTCACAGGTGTGGTGGGGGCAGCCGTCGGAGTCACATTCTGGGCTGAGAATGCATTGAAAGGCCTATCACTTGTCTGGCCAGAGCCAGCAGACTTGTGTGGCTGCGGTGTGCTCGCCGGCAGCATCGGAGTGTCTGGCGTGCCCACAGTGTCTTCCGCCCATCCCAACGTGGGAACAGCAGTAGCCTGTTTCTCATCCTTGATGTCCGCCTGTTGGTCATTGACCCCTTGTTCGTGTTTCACTGCAAGAGGCCGGTGGCCCTGCGCATGTGGGGTAGGACCTGGCGGAATGGGAGGGAGGCCGAGCCCAAAGCGTGCCTTAGACACCGACGCTGTGGGTCTCCACTGGGGCGGACGGTCCGCCGTGGGTTCTGGTGGTGGTGGAGCCTGGCCTGACGCTGCGATGGCTGCAGCTGAGGGAGGGTTAGCAGGCTCTGCCGGGCGCTGCGACCACATGCTGTTGCGAGGCGGAGGGCTTGGTGGCTCGGGCACTGATCGGTCATGCCGGGATTGCATGAAGTGGTGTGTGACTCCCAACTCATTTGGGAACTTCAAGCGCCGACCGCCGCGCTCGCAGTAGCGGCAGGAAAGCCAGTCTGGATCTTCAGGGTGAAGGCAGAGGCCTCGGGGGATGTTGCGAAGGACAGCCTCGGCCGAAATGCCGTGGTACTGCGGCTCCTTCTCGACCGCCGCCATGATCGCGTCAAAATCACCCCGTTCGAGGCTGCTGAGCACGGTCTCGCCGACAACTCTGACGCCTGCATTGGTGAGCATTGCTCCCGCCTGTGCTGAATGGGGTGCTGCAGAGGCAGCGCCACCGGCTTCAATGACCTCCGAGACAATTTGGGGCACGCTCTGCATGAGAGAGTTTTCATTTCTTTGAGCTGCCCTGGGGTCGCCCTTGAAGCCTTTTCGCCAGCTCCAGCATCGGGTGAATGCTACCCGAACCTGACCGCGGGTCTCAAAGTAGTGGCCGTCGGACTCAAGCTCTTTGGACTTGGTGAGCTGAGCTGAATGTCGCTCGCGGAGCAAATACACCGGTCCGAACTGTCGGGTCTGGTTCCATCCTGTCACTGGGGTGTGGCCCATGTCGTGCGTGAGGAGCTTCCAAAGTTCCTTGCAGAAGATCATGTAGTCCAGGTTGGCGACCGATGCAAGAATTTGCCTGCTGAAAGCGTGGTTTATAGCGCAGAGCATGAGGGGATGGCGCGGTTGTCCATAGATGATGCCCTGGAAAATGTGGTCATTTTTGACCCCAATGCCCATGATCAGGTACTCCCGGGGCAGAACCCCTTCCACTCCATTTGGGCAGTGCCCCAGCTCTTTGCTCTTGCGAACTTGGACATTGTCCCATTCTGAAGCTAGGAGCCCTAAGATTTGATCGAAGGGCATTCGCAGCGCCATCTTGATATCAAGGTACAGGCCACCATGATAGTAGTGGTAGACGTACCTGAAGACATCAGCCTTGTGAGCAGGCTGCCTCAGACTTTTGATCAAGTGTTCTCCGCTGTCTCCAGCATGCACCTGAAGGGTCTCGAGCAAAATCTCATCGTTGCAGAAGGAGCGCTCGAAATCGGCCAGGAATTCCCGGCACATGCTTTTGGGACCTGGGTGGTCATCGTGCATGTATGTCTGAAAAAGAGTGCGGGGCATTGGCCGGCGACTGACATTGGGTTCCAGGAATGGTCTGAGGGCCCATGCCTTGCCCGTGTGTCTAGCAGCCACCGCACCCACCTCAGACAGTGTCTCCGCGCTGCAAAGGTCGAACGTGGCGTTCATCTCCTTGTGGACATTGTCCCCCTGGCAGTTCCATGAGCACACAACCAGAACGTGGATCGCATTTGGCTTCAGTCGCCGCATCGTTTGAATTGAGCGGGATACCAGCAATCCAATGACGCGATCCGCCACCGTCGGTCGAAAGTGACAGTTATTTTGGTTGTATATTTGATCGACCAGGGGATGAGGGCCTTGGAGACTCATGATGGTCTCATCGCTGAGCTCGTACCGTCCCAGGCCATACTGATCCCTTAGCTCCGCGATCCAGTCGTAGGACTTCTGCTTATGGGGTAATAAGCTTTGTCTGATGGGGATCAGGCGCACGCTGACCTCGTCATAGTAATGATCACGGAGGAAATTGATCAATGCAGGGCTTTCCGCCGGGAAAGATCGCGTTTCGCCAAGGACGCGGATGAATTGCCAGGCCAGTACCTCCAACACCGCTGGGTTGGGTGGCTGCGCACCCGTGTACTCTGCTGTGAGAGTTGTACCCGGGCAGGAGATGACGTAGCCGTGCATTGCACCCCGAACCATGTCAACGATTCCGTAGGATTGGCCATTGGCCCCCTGCCATAACAAGTGTTGCAAGGTGCTGTCACTGAGCACCAAGAAGGGCTTCGGCGTTGTCGGTGTAGCTGCCATGCCCAGTTGCCAGTGCTCGTTGAGCACCGCGCCCTTACTAGGCTGAGGGAAAGTAAAGTGGTGAAGAAATGCGCAGGAATGCCAGAGCTGTAGCCTAGGGCTGTGCGTGCTGTAATGTTCTGAAGTCTAAGCCCTGAGCCCTCTGCCTTGTGTGATGTTTTACTTGATGCCTTCAGTGATCTTGAACCCGGCGGCGCATCAGGAAAGCTGCAGATGTATGCACGCTGAGGCAGCGCTGCAGAGTCAGCTTTGCTTGTGCGAGTGGGCAGGGGCACTGGTCCGGCCATGCCAGAAGGTCGGCGTCAGCAGGGGCAGCCTGAGGGCATCGTCGGACCTTAGAGGCAATATGCCGGCATCAGTAGCAGTAGACATGAGCAATCCTTTGTGTCTCTCGCGGGCAGAAAAGCGGTGTGTATCTGCAGTCTTTTCAGGTCACCGAGCCTCCAGGGAAGGTGTCGGCAGCTGAGGCTGTTGGTCAAAATTGATTGAGCTATTGGACGTGCTTCAGTACGGCTCAGAGAGGGCGATCAGCAGCCTCCGTAGCTTGAGCTGAAAGCCTGCTGGGCAGTGCCCCCATGCCAGCGCATTGCTATACATCAGCTGTGCTGCCGTTGAAAGCTAGAGGAGCTTGTAGCTGTGCGACGCACCTCGAAACCTGAGTACTTCAGGTACAGAGCGGAATTCGCGGAGAGCTTGTCCGCATCTCGGATGTGATAAGTACCGAGTATGAGTCTGCGTCCCGTCCATGGCAGTACCAGGTGTCGGCGTGAGGCATCAAAACTAAGGTAGGGCAAGGTCACGGGGAGAACTTGTCCTCTGGGTCCGACGGAGTCCAACAGGTAATCCCCGGCGTTGTCCTCCACAAAGAGGTGGCCGCC